GCAGTTACAGGTTTAATATCAATGACAAATAAGTTTCTTTGAAATTAAAAATATGAGGAAAATCAAGCGATTTTGATACCTAATAAGGTAGTTTTTCACATGCAATCTTTGTGTCCAAAAATTCTTTGGCATTTGTGAGGGACTAGTCTCAACATGATCACTACTTTAGTCTTTTTAACCTTCGCTGATGTCGAGCTTTTTTGACCAACTAATCATCACTTTCGTTTCTTTTTCATCCTTGATAGATGACATCATGTTTGACATGGACTTAAATGTTTTGACACTAGATCTAATGCACCATCATGGCCCTCCAAGAACCTATAGTACATTATAATGGTACATGACAGTAAAAAGGAAACAACCATGTGGAAAGGTATGTTTGAGGGCTATAAATACCCCATAACTATCACATTCAGGGTACAATCATTACACCCATAGTTTCCTAGTGTTGCCTAGTCTATACCTACTAAATTCCCCATGTATTGACTTGAGCATTGAGTGTCTATCTTGAGAATCAACCTCAAGGCTTGCAAGTCAACAGGTCAGGTTACACCATCTAAAGTTGCCTTGTTAGGTTGGTCAAACATATGAGTTATGTCATGCAACTAAATTAGCATCATCTATGAGATTTGTTACAAAAGTACAGGCTATACCACTAGTCATCTATGGCAACAACCAAAATAGGCTAATGAGGCACACATGGTCATGGCCAAGGTCAAGGATGAACAACCACTTAATTGGTTCCCTCACTCAAACATCAAAATCTTGCAAAAGAAGCCTTTCCCAAGGGGAGGAAGAGAATCACCCACAAGAACAAAATAACCCAAAATCAGCCATAAAAGACTATAGCAGCACAAAAAAGCTGTAATGGCTACTTAGTTGGGGGTAATGCAATAATGAGAAATGCAGCTAGTTCTAGCACAGATCTTTCAAGGAAATAATTTTAGAAATTGAATGATTCAATTTAAGGGGCGAAGAGGGAAAAGTTGAAATTTGAGGAAAAAGAAGAAAAATCTAGTGGAAAAAGGGACTAGCCAATGGAACAATTTTAAAAATTGGAGGGGCTTACAAGTGGAGGACCGAAGACTTCCAATCAATCTTCATCTTCAATGATGGAGTAGAGTCCAAGAAAAGAGAGGAGAAACAGTTGATCCAAATTAGAAAAAGTATAAGAATTAGAAGTAGGTATTTATGTTTCATTATTATCATGTATCCTTTTCTTTGTTTTTAATTAATAAAATAATTTTTAATTTATAAATATATATTTAAATATAATTCTATGATATTTAGTAGGGTATTTGGTATTTTCAAGTCACAAACTAAATACTAACAAAATACATTAATTGATACAATCCTCATATTGAATTTCATTCCCATCTGTACATTCTCAATATCAATTCCCAAATAATCAATACATGTTGAGGGGAATATTGACTTTTGCCCACCCTTAGGTGGAGAATGCCAACAAAGAACTTTACAAGGGATGTAAACAATTTTCCTTAATGTCCTTTTTCCACATTAATTGCTTAAATGGGTGTTCTTCCAAATCTTTCACAATGCCCATGGAATTGTTGGCTAATGTTTTTCCTAATATTAATTTCCTAGCATCAACTTGTGTAGTAAAATAGCTTCTAAAGTTCTTTGGATATGGGTATAAAAAGATTATGCTTGT